CCCCAGTGTAAGAACTCAAAAGAAGAAATAAAAATTGAAAGATATAACAATTAAAAGGAGAGTGAGAACTTAAGGATTAAGCAATGAAGAGAGGGCAAGGAGAAAAGCTAGGAAACATGGCAGGGGCAAAACGAAACATTTATATGCACAAAATGGTTAAGGCAATGGTTCCGAGAATCTATAGCAGGTTTTGAAACTAGCAGTACTTGGTAGGATTCTCAGCCTGACTAACTGTATATGCTGCTACCTGTGAGCTAAGCTACTGCACCGAAGGTAGCAATGTGTAATACTAGGGGCATGCTTGGAATGCCTGTCATTCTGGTCTTCTAAATACATACTGCTCATCATGTCATATCAATTACTGCTAGACTGTTTCTCAAATAAATGTTTGGGTTTTTTTTTTAAGGGTAATAGGGCCGGGGAGATGGCTCAGTGGAATAAGTGCTTCCCTGGCAAGCACAAGGGCCTGAGTTCAATCCCCGGTTCCGAGAAAAAAAAAAGTAATAAATGAAAACAAGAGACAAGAAAAGGAAAATGCCTCCAGTGCACCCTTCTTTATGGCAGAGTGGTACTCCACTGTGTGTAAATATCACACTTTCTTTACTCATTCATCTCTTCATGGACATGTAGGCCACTTCTAAGATGTAGCTATTATGAATTAGACTGCTATAAACATGGGTATGCATTTATCTCTGGAAAACGATGCCTTGGATTTTTCCAGTAAGGTCCCCAGAAGGGACTCCTTCATCAAATGCTATTTCTATTTGTAGCTGCTTTCTAGCCCTCCGCATGCTGGCTCCGCGTGGCTGTGCTGGTTCACGTTCCCTCACCGATGCGGCGGGCTCCTCCCCCGCAGCCTCCCCGCATCTGTTGTCGTTTGGCTCCTGATGGTGCTCGTCCTTTCTGGGGTAAGGTGGAATCTCGGTGTTCTAACGTGCATTTCTGTGAGGCCAGCGAGGGTGAGTGTTTCTCCACACACTTATTGGCCGTCTGTGTGTGGCGGAAGCTTTTCAACCAATGAAGGTAGAAAGGCGGTGGCTCTGCGATTATTCAAGTGCATTGCATTTATTGTGTACCGTGATGATATTTTTGTGCACTGTTTTTCTACTATTATCACATTAGCGCCTCACAAGGAGCCTCGCCCTAAGCTCCTCGCTCGAGCCTCCTCCAGCTATCCTCCTCCCCCTAGGATCCTCCCGCGAGCCTCCTCCCGCTAGCCTCCTCCCCATGGGATCCTCCCGCTAGGATCCTGCCCCTAGCCTTCTCCCCTAGCCTCTTCCCCTAGGCTCCTCCCCTAGGCTCCACCCCCAGGCTCCTCCCCTAGGCTCCTCCTCCTAGGAGGTCCTCCTCCTAGGCTGCTCCCCTAGGCTCCTCCTCTCCCTAGGCTCTACCCCCTAGGCTCCTCCCCTAAGCTCCACCCCCTAGGCTCCTCCTCCTAGGGGTACTCCTCCTAGGCTCCTCCCCCTAGGCTCCTCTCCCTAGGCTCCGCGCCCTCAGTTCCTTGCCCGTGCACTTCACAGCAGGATTGGGTCCCCCGTGAGAATCTGTTGGCACGGCTGATCTGCCCGGAGGTGGGGTCCGGGCAGCAAGGCCTGCCGGCCACGGGAGCACCTGGAGATGCAGGCGAAGCTTCCCCGCTGCTCAGCACCCCCAAGCTGAGACTGAGAATGAAAGGGCGTGGTGGAGCGCGCCTGTAATCCCAGCATTTAGGAGGCTGAAAACAGGAAGCTAAGGGCCGGGGAGATACAGCTCAGTGAAACAAGCGCTTGCCTGGCAAGCGCGACGTCCTCAGTTTGATCCCTGGTGCCACCAAAAACAAAAACAAAAAAGCCAGGAGGATCACTACGAGTCTGATCTGTGTAGCGAGACACTGAACAAAATGTACTAAAAGAAGAAATAGGTCGAACTCTGAGAGACCATACCCAGAAAGAACTCACAGCCTCTAGGAGAGGCATAATTATTTACAAAGATGGTCGAGGCAGTGGGCAACATGACCCACATTGTGGTGACAGATTCTGAAATGTTGATCAAATGAAACGAATTGAGTAAATTCTTTCTGGAGCTTTTCCTTCTTTTCTTAATGCTAACCTTCTTCCAGAAATTTGATTTCAACTTTTCCAACAAAACAAAAGCTCATGCTATTACAAGGTATAACGTATTCATGATGTATTGTGTTGTGACTGAGACGTAAGACCTGACTTAAATTTGTCTTAATTTTAGGAAACGTACACGTGTATGTGTACCACAGATGGGCTACCTCTTCAAGTTATCTATCCTTACCATAGGGTTTGTTTGTTTGTTTGTTTGTTTGTTTTGGTACCAGGGATCAAAGTCAGGACCGTGTATTGCCAGGCAGGTACTTATGTCACCGACCTATCTCTATGGCAGTTATTTTATTTTTATTTTTAAAATGATTTTGACAGGGATTGTTTTCATGTAAAATATAATTATCTACTTACTGAGTAAAATCAGTATAGGAAAAACAGACAGCAATGAATTTTTACATGCAGAAATGTTTATTAGAAAGCAGAGAAGCAACAAAACAGAAGACATCTGCTGTAGGTGACGGGAAAGACATGCTGTAGGTGACGGGAAGAATAGAGCTCCCTCCCACAGCCCTGAGAGCACAAATCAGTGCTGCCCGTAGGTGCAGCGACTGTGCAGCCTGTGGCAGGAACAATAACAGAGCCCGGAGTGAACGGATAAAGAGTCACTGGGAGGGGTAGGCTAACTCCATGGCAGGTGGACTACAAATTAATTCGTATTTGGTGCCAACAATGGAAGGAAAAGATAGCAAAGAAGGGAGCTTAAAGTGAAGCAGAACAGATTCCCAGAGTCCTTTGGGAAGGTGCTGGGCCCATGGGAATCATGAGG